TGCTTCTACAAGTCTGACTGAAGATCAATCAAAGAATCAGTTTTTCTGATTCTTTGCAAATCAGAAACACAAAAAAATAGCTGTTTTATATACGGCAAAAAAACTCCAGAGATGAGACTTGTCACGCAAAGTTGAACTTGAATTAGCTAGGCTACTGTTGTCAGAGTGGATCGAATCTCATCCGAACACAAGAACAACAAACCATCCGACACCAGTGTTAATTAAGATCAGACACAGGTGACTTCACTTCTGTGGTAACAGATTAATTTAATATTAATTCAATAATCACATTTGTCAGGCTCACGGGAATACAGACGTTTAAAATGATTTGTGTCTGATTGTGTGTTAAGTAGACGTTTCTTTGGGACAACAATAGCCTATAATGCACCTCATGAGACTTAATAATTTGTTTTTAGTCGGCTAACACAAGGTATCGGTCAATTTCTTTAAGTAATTGCGCTTTTGGGTTTGCTCTTTTTTTCCGTTCAACTCATTTCAGTAAAGCGACTGTTTGAGAGAACTTAGAAACTTTCTGTTCATTCGTTTTAACCACTCACAACTCTTTACTATAGCTCGTTTTTTATCCGCCACTGCTAACTTTATTTGTTCAAATTTGATTCACTTCATCTTTCGCTAGATTATTTAGGTTCACACAGTACAGTAGGGCGGATCATTACGCCTGGTTTGGCAATAATTTGCCCCTAATTCACTCATGCCAAAACACCACTCTCCTAAATGGAACAATAACCAGCCATTTAAACAAACGTGCTCAGATTTGAAAATAAATAAATAAATAGATTCAAACTTCCACTAATGAGACCAGTTTCAGTGTTTCAATCAGAATATCGGAACATGAAACTTTTTTCTTTTCTTTTCTTTTTCTTTTTTTTTCGTGAAAGGAATGTGACAGACTTCACATGTTATACAGATTTTGTACTTTTCGTTTTTCTCTGTTCATATTAGAAAATTACACCTGATGGCTATGTAGAGCAATTTGGACAGAAACAGTATTTGCTCGATAATGCGCGAGTAAAACGTTTTTCAAAGACTCGCTATACCAAATATATTGGCTAAATGGCCAATATATTGACTGAATTCTAAAAAGCTATTTAAAAGTTATTTATAATGGCTGCAACATCATACATGGATACAAATAGCCTATTTAAAATCAAAGTAGCCTATTTAAATTCGTCATTTAACGAGCTTTTTGCCAAATGATCCAAGTGTCAAATTGTTTCGTCAAACACTGATTATGCAACTTTTCCCATTAAGACAGATTAACCCAACACGTCTCTGATTTACACATTCACGCAAATCTCGAAATTTATACCTCGTGATACCAACTTAGTTTTAAAGAGTTTCGTGCTCAGAAAATTTGAGCGCTGCAGTATTTTACACTGTTAATCCAGAAAGAAAGAAAAATTAATTAGCCTACAATTAGGTCCTTGTTACCAAAAAAACCACAGCAGAGAAAACCAGAATTCACATTTATACAAGCAGATGTAGAGAAATAAGGTCAAAGCAGGGCATATGTATTGTTAACAATACTGATACTACAAATTTCTCCGTTTAGCGGTTTCTCGATACATTGCATTGCCGTATATTCCCACACAGAGTAAGTGATAGAGAGAGAGGTAATAATGTCAAGCGTCTTACTGCACTGAAGCAGGTCGCCCGCCCAGCGCGAGAGTCCGTCGGTTCAGCCCCCTCGCTCGCGCTCTGAATGCCTGCTCTGTGTCGCGCGCCGGGGCTTAAAGAGCCTCGTTGTGTGAGGAGCGAGAAAAAAAAATAAATTCGTGGAAAAAAATCTCTTAAAGGAGCAGCAGAGGCCTGTCGGGTCGCGTGCTGATTGGCTGCAGGATTTCGCCCTGAAGTTTCTCAGCGGAGGGCGGTGATTTCTGCTGCAAATCAACGACAGTAATATTTGGCCTCTTAGAGTGTAATCACACTTTTATTTGTGCCTTTAAACATTTTATAATTTTTTTTCTCTCACATATTTAGATCTTTGTATTGTTGATAACTGTCGGCTGTGAAAATTTGGCGTGAAGTTGTTTTATATTACAAATAGTTATATAGCCTATAGGCATATGCTGTCATTGTCATAACACTCTTAAAAATAAAAGCCTACAAAACCACCACTGGCTCTGCACCCATTTACCTAAATTCATTACTTCAGAGTTATGTGCCCTCTAGAAGCTTGCGTTCTGCAAGTGAACGGCGTATTATTGTGCCATCTCAAAGAGGCACAAAATCACTTTCTCTGACTTTTACATTAACTGTTCCCTCCTGGTGGAATGACCTGCCCAAATCAATACGAGCAGCGGAGTCCTTAACCATCTTCAAGAAACAACTAAAAACACATCTGTTCCACCTTTATTTGACCCTCTTACTCTAGCACTTTCTTATTCTATTTTAATTCTACTTTATCTATATTTATCTTCTTTTTTTCTTTTTTTCTTTATTTTTATTAACACTATAACACTAGCTTTCTATTTTTTCTATTCTATCTACTTGTTTTTCTTTGTGCGTGTGTGTGTATATGTATGTGTGTGTGTGTATAATATATATATATACACCTTGCTACGTGTACTGCGTTAGGCTAACCGAGACTTGTCATTTACACTTATATATTGTTGCTCTTTTGTTAGTTTTGACTGCTTTTATTGTCCTCATTTGTAAGTCGCTTTGGATAAAAGCGACTGCTAAATGACTAAATGTAAATGTAATAAAAATGTCCATTTCATTATGGGGTATTATTTTACTCCGATGGGTCTGAATACTTAGGACCATGTGATGTTTCAGTTTTTCTTTTTTAATAAATCTGCAAAGATGTCAACAATTCTGTGTTTTTCTGTCAATATGGGGTGCTGTGTGTACATTAATGAGGAAAAAAAATTAACTTAAATGATTTTAGCAAATGGCTGCAATATAACAAAGAGTGAAAAATTTAAGGGGGTCTGAATACTTTCCGTACCCACTGTATATATATATATATATATACACCTTGCTACATGTACTGCGTTAGGCTAACCGAGACTTGTCATTTGCACTTATATATTGTTGCTCTTTTGTTAGTTTTGACTGCTTTTATTGTCCTCATTTGTAAGTCGCTTTGGATAAAAGCGTCTGCTAAATGACTAAATGTAAATGTAAATTTAAAAATAAAGGTTCTCTATTGGCATCTTAGTTCAAGAAACTTTAACATTCATGGTGCTTTTAATATTGAAAAGGATTCTTTAGCTTAATAGAAAGTTCTTTAATGGTTCTTTTAAGAACTGTTCTTTGGGGAACCCATTTTTTCCCTATGACTGTCACTGTGAAAACACCTTTATTTTGAAGCGTGGGTTACTTTATTTTAAGGTGTCCTTGTTACAGTGTAATTATACATTTAAGTACTAAGTAATATTAATTAACTACATGTACTTACTATATGGTTAGGGTTAGTATTAGGTTTTGGCTTAGGGTTACTTGCATGTAATTATGCATAATTTAATGTTATTATAATAGTAAGAAGGCTACATGTAACGTGTGTGACAAGTACACCGTTAAATAAAGTGTTAACGAAGCGTGTAATAATCCAAATTCTATAGAATCTGTTTCATTTTAAAATCAGTCCTTATTCTTATTCAGGACAATTCCGATTTACACGCATTTTATTAGCAGATATTTCATTTCTGACGTACAAAAGTTTGCAATCAGAAATATACATTTGTTTTGTATTCCAACAGGCTACAAATCTGGGAATACGGAGATTTGAGTTGATGGAAAGAGAATAATTAATTGATAATTAAATAAACAATAAAAGGTCAGATTAAAATACACAAATAATTGGAAAATAAAAACAATCACAATAAAACAGTGAAAGAAAGATTAAATATTTTATTTGTTTATTATTTAATTTTATATGTCATATGACCACCAACCGGCAGACAACCGTGAATATGCAAATGTGTTGTCTATTTTTTTTTATTTTTTATATTAACCTATATTTGTTTTAGCTCCAAGTTGATCGGCTGACAATAAAGTTCTGGAATTGCTACAATGTAAGAATGCAAAGTTGTCAAATTAGCCGTTACGTTTGTTATGTTATAGCCTGATGCAGTTTTATGATTTTGTCGGACATTAGGCCTAAATGACTTTCACGGGTGGTCGTTGGTTTCTCATTAGGGTCACGGGGGTTTTCGGGTGTTCTTTCAACTGTTTCCGATCACACTGGCGCGTTGTTGGCCTGCTTGTGCCGCGGGGTGAACCAGAGGAGCCCTTCCACCCCGCCGAGCGCCATCGGACCTGTCAGCAGCTCCGGCAGCGCGACTCTGCGCACCTGCTGTGCGCAATAGCGTCTTCTTTCTCACTCGAGCGCGTGCGGAATAGCCTGTCTGTGAGTGTAAATTCATCTTGGCTATTAAGCATAATAGGTTGCGACTTATTAGCTGATTTTAAAGCTTATTTTTATACGCGGGACAGTGCGCGCCCATGCAGGCCTGCAGTCGTGACCCGCGTTTGCGCGCTTAGCGCTGGAATGAACTCCTGCAGCATCGTGTCGTGCTACGTGTTAGTGTCATAATTGCATCACATAAACACACAGAGAGCGCATTTAACGCGTTTAAACAGAAAATACAGAAAGACGAGAAGAGACGGGCCAAACGCACACAAACACGCGCGCTGTTCTGGTCAACAATAACCTCTTGTATTTCCATCTCGCGACGCCCCCCCTCCACCCAAGCCAAAAATCATTGCCTTTTTCATTATCCATGAATGTTGACTCTGATAAGGGGATCCTGACCATGAGAGCATCTCTCTGTCTCGGTCTCCGGAGCTCTTTGCGTCCTTTGTTTTATCTCAGGTGAATTGTAATCATGTGATCAAACGAACACCCCCCTTCCATTACCCTCTTAAATGAAAAAATGAGGAACAAAAAGCAGTTCTGTGTATATAAAAAAAGAAAAGAAAAGAGAAAAGACGCGCGTCTCCCTTTAGAGCGTCTTTTTCTCCGTGTCGCTTCAAACGTACACATATAGAGGAAAAGCGCCGCGTCTCTGTCTCTCAGCGGTATGGATGTACGCGGATCTGAGGCCTGCTGCACGCTTTGATGTGAGTTTCTCCCGGTTGCTCTTAGGGAAGTTGGGAAAGGCGCGGAGAAAGCGGCGTTTGTAGGAATATGACTGCCCGCGTCACTTTGTCTGCAAGCATTTGAAACATAAAGTGCAGACCTGGAGATGAACATTTGTAGAGGATCATCATGCAGTTGTTTTGTGTGTGTTGAATTGATGTGTAGCTGTTAAACTCAGTTGCTTTGGCTATTTGTCTTCCTGTAGCTTCTTGCAGTGAGTTGTTACTTTTGATGATCGGGATCTGTGTTTTCTTTTATGGGGCGTTTGTTGTGCCTTGACATTTTTAAGCATTGAGAATTTGTATAATTTAGGCTGATGTCGATTGTTTATTTTTTAATTGTGTTTACATTTTCATAAATTATTTGACATCTGTTCTTTGCAACGATTTCGTTTTTTTTTTAATAATTTAAGACTGTTTTAAATAAGACACAAATCTTATAACAATGATAATAATGATACGAATAATAATAATAAATTAATTAATTGTAATAGTTCAGAAATTGTTATTATTCTTTGCATTCTTTAATTAATTTTAGTTTAAATAAGTTAATCCTGCAGGTGCGTGAGATGTTCGTCGTTACCTGAACTAATTAATAAATAATTAACACTCGCCTTTGCTTTTCTTGCATTTGAAATCTTTGAAATCTTTTTTGAAAACTTACAGCAAAATATTGACAAAATGATTTTCATCTAATAACATGTAGATTAGAATGATCCTGTTTGTATTTCCATTGCAAAATTTTCTTAAAGATCGAATAATAATAACAATAGTTAAAAACTATTATTTTCATATAAACTAGCTTAGTTATTATTATTATTTCGTCGTTCTTGTTTTGAAATGATTGTTGTATCTGCGTAGTGTTCTTTTTCTGAACGACCTTCAGTGACGCGTTTAAATGCGTTAAAATAAAGTCGAAGTGAATTTGTTTCCTGTCAAGTTCAATCTTTTTTTTAAACATTTTATAAAACTTAAAATAAGTGTAATTTTGAAGCAGGATATTGTCGAAAATTCTCGCTTGATTATTATTAACGCGACCGTTACATACATTAATGTTATTTAATCACGAGTTTTATTATTAATTCGTCACACACACACACACACACACACCTGATCACATTCGCTCTGCATGTGTGCCAGTTTCTGGCCCGACGGGAAGTGGAGCGAGCAAAAGATGCGAGTGGGCGGAGTTTTTATCATTTTTCCTCTGAGAACGAAAGGTTTTGCCCTTTTGTCCGCTTTAGTAATGACGGATGAGGAATTCCTGTGTGAGGCAGGAAAGGTCAGACACTGCTGGAATGATCTCATGCGTCCAGGGTTTGTGCTTCTCGTGTTGTTTTCCTCAGTAAACGAGGTGGAACTGGTGAAAATCCCAGCGGAGTTGAGTTCCTGTGGGTGGAGCCTCGGCTTCACCTGCACGAGAACGTCTCGGCCCAGCGAGACTCACCTGTGTGATACTTTACTCTCTGAGAAACGAATCTGGCACAAAAACACACGTTTACTGAACACTTTTACTTCATCTTTGATATTAGCTCAATTTCAGAGACTTTCAGAGGTTATTTCTATGCTGGAATGTGTACCTGGTCAGTACAGGCTTTATTAAAAATCATTGGTAACACTTCATTTTAACAACCAATTCTCACTTTTAACTATATCAATAGTATGTTGTCTGTTCATTAGGCGCAATTAATGCCTTGTTCTGTATGACCATATTTCAGATACCTTAATCCACTCGATACCTAAACTTAACAACTACCTAACTAACTATTAATAAGCAGCAAATTATTAGTTTACTGAGGCAATAGTAGTAGTTAATAATTACTTAATAGTAAGAATTGGACCTTAAAATAAAGTGTGAACGACATTTTTAATATATATTTTACTTTATGTTGTTTTCATTTCATATATATATATATACGAAAATATATCTGTAGTATGTATAAAACATTTATTTCTTTGTTTCTTTGTTTGCTTATATGGCAGGCTTTAAATTAAGATTAAAAATCAGATGTTTTAAAATTCATTTTTCTTTTGACAAACAGCAGTAAAGAGGAATATATATGTATTTATTTATTTATTTCAGGCTTAATTTAAAAAAAAAACATGTTTTAAAATTATTTTTTCTTTTTACAAACAACTGTAAAGGAATATATAGGGTTTTATTTATTTATTTATTTAGCAGGCTTAATTAAAAATCACATGTTTTTAAATTAATTTTTGTTTTGACAAACAGCTGCAAAGAGGAATATATATATATATATATATATATATATATAGGATTTATTTGTTTGTCTGTTTGTTTATTGCAGGCTTAATTAAAAATCAGATGTTTTAAAGTTATTTTTTCTTCTGACAAACATAGGTTTGTTTTATTGTAAAGAGGAATATATAGGTTTTATTTATTTATTTATGTTTTACTAGGCTGTAGTGATTGAATGTGTGACTGAATTCTGATTGAATGCTGGTGATGGATTTTTTTCAAATACGCTGTTTTTTTTTACATTTATATTCTATATTTCTCTAATTCATTATAATCAAAGTGTCTCTATAGGTGTTTGTGAATCCGCACCTGTGCTCAGATCCTCCAGGTGTGGAAATACTGTTAGAAAGAGCTGTAGTGTTTGTGAGAGACAGACAGGTGTGCAGTGAGACAGGTGTGTAGATCAGCACTCTGTTGCTCGTTCGCTCATCACACTCATCTGTGAAATACAGTCAGTGTAGGAATTTACATTTACATGTATTCAGATGCATTGACCCATGAATAGAATACATACTGTATGTTTAGATGTTATCTTGACTGTAACATTTGAAGCATGCATTTCTGTGAAGCTCCATTGATACTGTAAGTATTGTGAAAAGCGCTGTACAAATCAGCATGAATGGAAATACATACACTAACTTTAATTCATCATTTGAGCTGTTTTGTGCTGGAACAGGAAGATTTTCTGTCTCTTTTCCCTCGTCAATCCCTCCATTCTGTACATTCTCCCACTCTCTGCTGAATATTAATGATTAAAGCTCATTAACATGTCATCATCTTCAGAGGGTTAATAAAGTCTGGGGGTCCGTGACCCCTGCTGACCCTCTCTCTCTCTATCTCTCTCTCTCTCCACCCATCTTTTAATAAATCGATGCAGCTGCGTAACGCTTAAATGGGTCCCCGTCTCTGGGATGAATCCTGCTTTTGTGTCGTCTCTCTTTCTGCTGGTGGACGGGTGGCAGTGGTGTGGTGGGGGGCAAAATCTTGGACAGGATTCCTCTGCAGCTGGGGAAGAATGGATGGAGAGAGAGAGCATGAATGCTCCATTGTGTGCTCACTTCATATCTGCACCGACTGCCTCCGCCAAGAGTCCAGTTACCCCAATTGTGTTGGAGAAACATCTAAAGGAAGCTGATATGGGGTTTCAGAGGGTTTAATGGGGGTTTGGGGTGGAGGAGGGCGAGAGAGAGGGAATTGGTTACCTGGTTTTCAGGTATGCGTAAATCCTTCTCCAGCAATATCCCAGCTAACAGAGAACGTTCTTAAAACGTTCTCTCAAAGTTATCAACAAATGTTCTTCAAGTAACATTAAAGGAATTCTCCCCTGAGTTACGTCTTCCGCCATTTTAGAGTATCACAACACGTACGCACGCTTTCCCCTAAGCATAAACAGCGCTGATTACGCAGATTACGTTCATGCGCGCGCTTTCTCCCCCGAACGTAAAAAACACTGATTACGTCGATTACGCTCTTGGGTACTCTCCAAAATGGTGGAAGACATAACACGGGGGAGAAGAATTGTTAAATAAATTGTTATTTTTTGTCTTCTTTGAGCTCAAAAAGTATTCTCGTAGCTTCGCAAAACTGAAGTTGAGCCACTGATGTCACATGGACTGTTTTACCGATGTCCTTACTGCGTTTCTGGACCTGAGAACATTACAGCATTACAGAACATTACATTACAGAATTTTCATTTTTGGGTGAACTAACCCTTTAATCAAACAGTCATTCAAAGTTATCTGGTCTTTAATAAAGTTCTCTCAATGTTTTGAACAAACGTTCCTCCAGTAGCGTTAACAGAACATTCGTTCAGAGTTGTCTGGACTTTAATGTTAGCACAAAAACAGTATTTGTACATCATTCATGGAACATTTTTTCCTGAAAAGTTTTAGTTTAGCATTTTTTTTAAATGTTACTACTTGTTACGGAATGTTCAGAGAACATTTAAAAGTAACATTCCTATAGCGTTTGCAAAATGGTAAAATGGAACATTCTCTTAACATTAGTGTAACCAATTAAAAATACAGTTATGTCAATAGAATGTTGTTTTCAAAGTAGTTTTAAATAATGTTTTTAAACAACACAAAAACATTATTTATAATGGAACATTATTTAAATCTGAAACATTTTAGTTCCACTTGTTCTGGAATATTCAGAGAGCATTGTAAAGTAACATTGCTTTAATGTTATTAAAATTATAAAATGGAATGTCCAAGAAAAGAATGCATTTAAAAAAAACTTAGCATTTTGAATGTTCAAAATGTTAATATAACATTCATTTAAGGTTATCTACACTCTTAAGAAAAATGGTTCTAAACAGTACCAGAAAAGGGTTCTTCGGCTTGTAACAATAGCAGAACCCTTTTTAGTTCTAAATAGAACCTTTTTTATAGGGTTCCATATAGAATCATGCTTTGAAAATGCTATATAGGACCTTATTGGTGTTATAAATAACCTTTTTAATGATAGTTTTTCATTAATATTAGTATGTTCATATCATTAAAGGGATAGTTCACCCAAAAATGAAAATTCTGTCATACAAATAGATGTGATGAAGACCAAGTTTCAGTGAAACAATCACAATCTAATCAATATGATGTCTTTAAGTCCATCATTTTGGTGTGATTAAGTAGCGATTTTTCTCTGCCGATGATGAGGTTGTAGGATGTGATACATCTGAAATACACAATTGAGTTATAGAGTTATAGTGTGTCCATGTGTT